CAGAGAAACGAATATGAAATTGATAAGGGTTTACAAGTTTTCGCTCATCCTTTTAATAGGTTGCAGTTTTCACAATCATCTACCTTACTTTTTATATTCTGGTTTTGGCTTCTGCCTTTCAGCAACCCATTTTGGTTCACCCAACAGCCTAATTCGCCGTCTGGCTTAACTATTTGTAAGGTGGGAATTGCTCCCTATTTATTTATTTTAGGAGTTCCACCAGATTTCTTTGTGATGCTATAGTAGGTTTTCCGGTACTTATGCAAAATATTTCCAAACGTATATTTGCTTAACAAGATTGTTAATCCGATGCATCACTTGTTGTTTCAGACGCTGGAAAAACTTTGCCTCCCTTGGACGGCAGTACAGAACAGATATCCAATCTAAATCTTCTTCAATGTGAACATTGTGGGAAGAGATTTGTTACCAAACATGGTCTGTCCGGTCACATGCGTTGTTGTAGAATCAAACGACTGAGAAAAGGAGTGGTTCATGAAACAGTGAAACCTGTTAAAAACCGTAAATCCCACACCCATCCTGGGAAACGCGTCGCTCATTCGAATTCACTAGTCACCGAGGCGGGATGTGAACTGGAACAAGCACCAAAGCGGTACATCTGTCCCGTCGAAGGGTGTACCTACGAAACGGAATTGTACAGCGCCTACCGATATCATTTCAAGCGATACCATTCAACCGTCAATCCGGACGGTCTGTGGTATGCTTGTCACTTGTGTTCGGATTATCGAACTCGTAAGCCCACAACAATGGCCTGTCACTTCCGCACTGTTCATCGTCTTGCCCCACCACCTGGCAGAAGACGTTTTGCCTATCTAGAAGATCCGATCGATGGTGTGTATCGTTTGGTCGACAAACCTCCAGCACCAAAACCCAATGTCAAACGACCTATCTTGCCGGCTATCACCGCTATCTCCACGTCTTCAAACGCCCAGGGATCATGATGCATTTCTTTCCCACTGCTCTTTGGTCTTATTGTTTGGCAAAGACTTTGTGATAGTCACTGAAAAAAAGAATATAAACTGTACCTACTCAAGCGACTTTCTTCTCTCCCCTGGTATAGTCATCTCTCCCCGTGCGCCCTGATCCGTTGTTCCTATGGGATTTATGAATCTAGGCTTTCCGCGGTCTTCCTGCCCCAGTGGCTCCCGATCTAGATGAGATTATTGGTGATTCGGATCAAGAGAATGAAGCCGACGAGGAATTGCTCACACCGGCGGAGATTGTTAAACGACTGTACCGGGTATGTCTCTCTCGCACTCAGTGGTCTGATGACTCATTCAAGCATGAGAAACGAAATGTTGCTTTGTTTTATATTCCCGGTCTATTATATCACTGCATAACATTATTGTTGCACTGACTAGCACCATACAATTGAAACGTACAGGGAATTGTTAAATGTTCATCAGCTCGTTCCACGTCAAACCAGGACCAGCTGTTAACCTTGAATGAGCGTGTGAATGGGCCTGCTAGTTTCGTATGTGTTACATATACCAATTTAGTTCATCCATTTCTTTCTCAGCGTTACTTATTTGCATTCGCTGTTTCCATTTACAGATGGTGTAAATTCTCAGTATTCTACCTGGATACCTATGGTCTCCATTATTTAGGTTGGTAGGTTTCGAACAATTGGAGTTGTGATATAGTTTGGATTTAGTCGTTCACGGACCAGATGTAGCGTGAACTGAAAACCTTGGAAGCACACTGCTCATTTGTTTCTATCTGATTGGATCTCAGCAGACAGTGTGAATCCATCAGCCCAACAGAAGATTGAACTAGAGACCCACTCAAATCGAAACAACTGTGCTATGATTCCTGGCTTTTCAGCTTACGCTTCATTTACTCTGTGCATGAAAAAATCCACCATATCAAAAATCAAAGTTTTATTTTATGCTGTTTAACATAGCTTGCATGTATCTTGTCCCGTAAGATTTTTGCAGAATGTTTTAGACAGCTTTACAAGCAGAAAATAATCATGAAGAAAGAAGATTGAAAGATAAAAGTCTGACTTCTGTTGACAGAAACCCGATGAGAGTGACTACCCGCCTGAGCACGAGATGGACGAGAGAAGGTCAATGGCAGGGAAACCGCTAAAGCGAGTTCGGAAGAGCAGAAACCAAAATAGCAACGATAGAAAAGAGATAGCGAAGCTACTGCCCGGTTACTGGAAAGGGGCTGCAGGTTGGAAGTTAAAGACGGTTCGTCGATCAGCCGGAGGATAAAAAGAGCGGAATATGAAGCTCCACCTCATACGTGACTGCAGTATTCAAGCATCGGGCGGATTTGAGTTTTGTATAAAAGAAGGTGCTCGGGTGTAAAGAAACGCGTTGCGCGGAATAGAAACCAACTTTGCGTGCAGCGCGAGAGGTGAGTGTGGAAAACAAATGGATGCCAACAGAGAGAAGAACTTACGGATAAACCCAAGAGGGAGAGAGAACTTGTGGAATGAAGGCCCAACGAGTCAAAACAATCAATTGAGGAGAATGAGGGACACGTTTAAGAGAGATGGAGAGGAGAGAAGTTTTCCATGCACTGAAACACACATGGCTGGTAGAACCCCATATAGAGATCGATCACGATCGTGATCGATATTGATATTGGCTTGATGGGTTATGGACT